TTTATCGCGATACGTAAGGCGAAGTACGAAGTTCGTCGACTATGCTTTGAAAATGACAGGACGTAGACGTAGTGTCATTGAGATATGTTGCGTTATTCTGTGCTCCTTACAAAGCTTAGCTTACGGAAAGAGTACCATAACACATATACGAATATATATGAATTAGATGTCGCCTGCGAAAGTTTGCGATTTACGATATTGGTCGCCATTCAAATTCACTAAATGATAACTTAATTATGTTCGACTGCTTGCGACAATTACAGAGATAATAATGATCTTCAGGTTTGTCAATTAGCAACACTTTGCTGTATTTAACATGTGCTTGCGATTAGTTTACGTAACAAATTTGCCGAAGTTTCGCTAGTGATGTAATGTGTACACAAATACATGAGTAGTATAGTGTAAGGTAGGGAAGGTAAATAGCATGTTCTCTTACCCTTCGAATTACATGACGTATACGGGATTTTGACGGTTACAACATAAGCAATCATTGGATACGAAGTCGCACTTGTGTATAAGTTTGCACTTGTTTCTAAAGTAAACGAGGCAGTTCGATAGTTACCGAATACTAAATCTAGAAATACGTTGTGATTTTCTTGCAAATTAATATTCAAGTAACTAACTTGATTCAATGTACTCGAAAACTTAACTTTGAAGAATAGAGAGTTTGTTAATCCACTAGCTTGTCAACATCCATTTGATCGATAAATCGATCGCATGTTATATTATTATAAACATCGGCTATTGAATATATTTCGATTTAAGAGAATCTTGTAAATACATAAATTAAAATTCATGTCTCTCTCTGTCTGTCTATCAATCTCCCTCTCTCTCTCTCTCGCTCTCTTCACTGAATTCCGGGGTTAATGTTTATGTACGCAAACCGTTAATAATTTCAACTTAAACGGTTAGGTCGACTGACATCAAATCTTTTGATTTTTTGTTGTAATATTTTTCTAATAGTCTTTAATAATATAATACATTTTTCTTAGATTATCAGCTTAATACGCACAAAATTTATCTGACACTTCCTACGTCGCTTCGTGTAACATAATTTTTTTTTTGTAATTCCCCTGAGAATATGCCAAAAATCGTATCTTATTTTCATGTAAAGGCTTACTTGTCATGAAAGGCTTTGTATAGGCGGGAGCCCAAGATCTCAACGGATATGGTCAAAATGTAGCAAATTGAATTGGTTTGTTAAAAACTTAATTATTTTTCATATAGTTTCGTTATACAAAATATTCAATAAAATTGATCAATTCGATCAAAATATTTGCATATATATATATATATAACAAGTTAAAAATGTTGATATGCCAATGCTTAGCATTTTTTGGTCTTCTAATACGTTTACATGTCACCAGTTTTTCAAATGAAGAGCCAATCCCATTTTCAATAGAATTCGTCGGTTTCGCTTGTTCGGGCTAAAAACTTGAGATGATGCTACATTTTTTCGATATATATCGAAATTTCAACCGACGGACAATGTGAAATTGATTTGGGAAAATCGTGCCAAGTCAAACGACATAATGAAAGTTTGATTTATGTTATGTCCTTTTGGGTGTTACATACATCTGACTAAACTCAATTTATCCTGTACTATAAGTGATGTAAGGTATTGTAAAATTGATCTCAAATAAAATTTTATATATGTATATACAAAAATTAAAAATCGTTTTAAAGATATCTTTATTGCTTGCCTCCATGAGTGTTGAAATCACTTCTGCGTCTTTAAATAAAAAAAAAAATAAAAAAAAAAACATTAAAATAAAACGAAAAATTTTGTAAATTGAAAAGAACTTTAAAAACTGAAAACAAATCCTTAATAAATATATAAATTTGTTCCGTAAACGTTTATCTAAATATGTGAAATTTCATAAGCAAATTTGGATAATTCAGCATACCGTCAGCATACTACCAGCATACCTACGAATGTCTATTGTTTGGTTTGTATTGCGCGTTTGAATGCAGCAAATGTGAAAAAGTGCAAGATAAAGCTTAAACTAAATTTGCGATACTAACATACTAATAGGTAACTTATAAAGCAACATATATGCCAGCATCACTTGCATGTAAAGCAAACTAGAATAGAAAGTTAATCTGCCTGCCGTAATCACACATAAATGAGTTTGTACAAAGATTAAATTCCAAATCTTTATCCAAAATCTTAACTTAACGACGACAACTTGCAGAAGCACTTCTTATTATAAGACGACTAAACGCATTTAAAATTTCATTTAAGTGCATCTTGTGCGTTTTTTGCATCTAAAACCGATCTCATCAACTGATTGACATAAATACTTATGCTAAGCACATAGTAGCTGTTGTGAATGCATGCAACTTTTTCAATTATGTATAATAATAAAAACGAGAAACGAGCAATCACGTTTGGCATACGCGTTCTATTAGCACGAATCGAGGACCTTCGCTAGACATAAAGATTTGCATATATTTTCTTCCCACCGACGGTAGTTATTCATATTTTCATAGAATTTCTTATAGATTGGGAGACGTGTAAATGAATATAGTTGAAGGTGTTTCGTCCCTATTTTTTTTTTTTTTAATTCCAAAAAGATTGCCGTTTACGCGTTTTAGTCTTTAGGCAAATTTTGACAGAGAGAGAGAGAGAGAGAGAGAGAGAGAGAGAGAGAGTTCAATCTGTTTACAACACCACTCTACAAAATTGAACCAAAAGTGCATATGCACAGCAAAGTTTCAATCTCTTACGGGAATTTCTATAGACTCATAGAAAGAAATTGTTAAAATTCACGCCTATCAGCAACGACCGCACTGAAACTTAATACACTTTCACCCTTTGATGGGTGGACATATTCGTATGTTACAGTACAGTGTATGTTAAATACACGAAAGGTACGCATATAAGTGAACCTATTTAACTGTGTAATAAATAAACTTTAAAATCAATAAAAATTAAAAATTGATTTTAAAATTAATAGTTTAACGATGAAAAGAATATTTTTGCGCCGACGCGTCCTTCATTTACTGCAATAACATTTTAATTAATGTAAAGAAAATAAGTTAAAATGTTTTAGTTCTGCTCGCTAATATGCCAGAGCAGGCAAATGAAGTTTACCAACTATTATGCGTACCAAGTTTAGGTCTATGTCTATGAGTTATTGTGAAAATTCCGGTAAATTCTGTGCTAGGGCTTCCTCGACGTCGCACTTTATTTCATCCACTAAAAAAGAAAAAAATGAAGTCAAGAAAGAATGGTTTTTACACAATAACTTAGTAGTCTAAGTTTCAGTGATAAGATGGATTGACATTTTTATGGTGTGATGATGACGAATTTATCTTTCATTTCGCGCCGCCGATGAGGATATATGTAAAAGAGATCATCGTATATACAAGCAAATTATTGTTGATCAGCAAAAAAAAGCCAAACCGAAGCGATTTTTACAAGATTGCAACCAAAGGAAATGTAGTTCATTTTCTTAGTATAATATATATAAGTAGTTATATATATATATATATATATATATTAAGTAGTATATATATATATATATATTTATATTAAGTAGTTTGTTTTCGCAGTCTACACAGCTGCATTCTTTAAAATGCTTTCTGTCGTTCTTGCTATCCATTGCGTTTTACACATTCCCTGATGCCTTGAAGAGTGTAACAGTTGAAGCTCTTCTCGCATATAATTGCTGGGAGTCATCATATAAGTATATATATATTTTTTTCATTTGTAATTAGCACTAAACGATATAAGATACCAAAATGAATTTTTACTTAAAAATGATTTTATATAAATAGTCGACTGCGCACTTTTGTAAATCACTTTTAAACTTTTGTAAAAAATTCGTATTAGACGTAAACTTTTTTAAGTTGACGTAGGCTAATGCAACACTATAATCTTTGTAACTCGTTGAAAAACCTTTTAATTTACCTTTACGGGACAGAGTAAATAGAGCGATTTTGCATATTCTCTTGCTTAGAAAAAAAAAAAAAAAAAAAAATTTGAATGGATTCGCTTAGGTAACTAAACGTAAATGTCAAAAATAAATTGGACGAAAATCGGATATGCGTCAATGGCTGTTGTTTTCCCGACATGTCTAGCACACGCTGTAAAACTTGGTAACTAAATTGATACTTAACCCGTACGCAACGTACGCAAAGTTTAAAGTATATGTTGCACTTGCGAGAAGAGAAAGCTGCTTGCTTGCAATAGGTTTAGCATGTTCTTTTCCTCACTCAATGTATACTCAGGCTTACTCTGCCCCCCTCCCCAGAGATTTGAACAGGCTAGCATTGGCTTGGTGGACGCAATTCTTGTCTTAATATGTTTTCAATTTTTAAAGAGATTCATTGCTCTAGTCGGTTAAGTATTATTTACAGCCATCATCGTAAGAGTTTTACCGACCGATATTTAACGCTAGCAGCTAAGGCTAGGTAAGGCCAAGTAAACGTTCACTAATCAATTACTTTGATGGACTTTGTTTGGATATATGGCTTTACGTATCGGCTTAAAGCTTATCACTTATAAAAACGTATACACCATTATCGGACAGAAATGTTGAATAAGAACCAATGAGAAGTTTTTTATAAATTTTATAAATTTGTACCCGATACGCCCGCCACTGATGTGCCAACTTATTTATTTTTATCATTTTTTTTTTTTTTCAAACATATTAATGATAGAAATGTTAGTGTCGCCCTTCATGTCTTTCTTTATTGTTCTATGGCTCGTTCTCATATACAAGTATAACATTTGTCCTTCGAAACGCTATTTGTATCCTTCAAGCAAACTAAGACTGTAATAGCAGAGCAAGTAGCACACACAACAGCGACCAACAAATATTAAATAAACCAAAGTTAATTCACATACAAGCCTTTGATTGTGACGAGAAATTTTATGTCGTATGGCACGATAAAAACAACACAAGCGACAATAACAATAGCTAATGCAAAAATTGTTTGGGTTAATTTAAAAAAAAAAACAAAAAAAAAAAAAAAATAAGAAAAGAAAAGAAAAGAAATTTCTACATATATTTACCTATATGCAAGTGTATGTGTGCTGACATAGTGCCCTCCTGCGCGGACTGAAGAAAATCCTTTTTAAAGTGGCAACAGTGTTAAGCGTCTCGCAAGTGTTCTTAAATAAAATCACATAACAATATACTACAACTGTATATACACATAAAGGGACCGTATCTTTATAGTACATAGATGTATATATTTTATATATTACATATCTATATATATTTATATATATATATATATATATATTATATATATTATATATATACATATAAATATAGTTTAAAAGAGAATTCATTTTATTTTCGCCGCGTGCGTTTGTTTACATGAATGCGGGCATTTCTAATGTCGGTCTTAATCGTATATCTTTGACCATATGCAAGAGTTCAATTCAAATGTGATTTGTATGTTACCCCTTTCGGTGCACCTACTAATGAGTCACCGTGCTTTGCAAGCAGAATATATAACGAAAAACAACGACTATAACAATAACAAAAACAATAATTAAAGAAATTTTGACAACATTTGCTGAAAACAAAACACTTTGAAAAGTCGATTCAAATTTTATTGCAGTGTATATTTATTCGGGATCGTTCTATGTTACACATAGTGTATGTGCGTGTGTGTTAGCTGAAAAAAGTTTTTAATTAGGTGAGTTATTTTTCCTATTTTATTTATACTACCATTATGTTATGTTGTCGTTCATATTAACAATCGTTGAACGGATTTCTACACAACATACTCATCTATACCCATACGTTTAAATAATTCAAAACCATTTTTATTAATAGAAGTCTATATGAACGTAAATGCGCGCATATGTATTTGTTTGTGTGCATAATTATTGCAATTGAACTATTGTCCTCGTAAATAACCCACTTCAACGGTATAAATTGAATAAATATCATTGAAATGTCAAAAACCAATTACATAATGAAAGTGTAGGTGAACCGTTATAAAAGAACGAATATATAGTTGAATGTATGTGGATTCACGTTGATATCTGTTATATAAATATTGACAGTAGTTTTATACATATACACATATATATATATATATATATATATATATATATATATATGCCGCATTTATACAGATTATCGCATTGCAAGAAAGACGTAGATAAAAATCATTTTTTTATTTGAAAAGTTAAGCTATGTGAGATGAAATGATAACCGGTAAGACTCCTTTCGGCTAGAGATTAAAAACTTTATTAACATCCTTTTATAGCTTGTTGTTTCTTTCGTTTTTCTATTCTAATGGCTTTCATTACTGCCTGTGGCATTCATTCCTCTTTCAAAAGCGTCGCTGAAAAATGTTGATGCACTAAACTCGCTATTACTTTTGCAAAATTTCGAAGAGAACATTAGAGTTCTCAAAAATTATAAAATCCCTTCTATGATATCAGATTGTAATGAAAAGCTAGACTCGCAAGCTCGAATAGCTTATGATCGAGATCGCGATCGAGATCGTGATCGAGACCAGAATTGACGGGAAACTGATTGGAATCATAAAAAACTGTTTGCGCGAAAAGGATTTTCAAACGTTTAGATTTTGCAGTTTGTACGTCCGAAAATATAATATACATATTATAAAGTCCTTGTGTTTAAAGTATTGATCGTTATTTTAAAAATTCTTATGCTTGTGTGGAGGCTCGTTTTTCCTTTAATCGACGAGCATCTGTTGCCCTTAGCTAGAGCAAGCATGTCGTATCTTCTTTAAATCCAAAAATTGAAGAAGGTATCATTCTATTTGATTGCATTTTGCATTACGCTGATTACTAACAATTCGTTATTGTTTTGTCTATTTATTTATTTATTTATTTATTTATTTATATTTTATTAATTTCTATATTTCAAAGTTGTGAATATAAAAAAACAGAAAGTAAAAATACATTTCAGCTAAGAGCGGCTGGATGTACGAAGGGATTGCAAAGTGTTATCATCATATTTCAAATAAATCATCGTATCAAGCAGACTATTAATTATTTTTAATTTAAAATTTTTTTTATTAATTCATATTTATTTATACATTTCATATTGTATTCAATAAGTCTTTCATAAATATTGAACAGCATTTCAAATATCTTTCATATTTTGGTTAAGAAAAAAATAAAGCAAATCTAAGTTAAACCTTTTTTTGTAATTACTGTTTACTTACCCGGACAGATTTGGGCGGTGTAGCAAAATTAAAAAAAACAAAACAAAATACGTATTGCAAATGAATTAATTCGATGCCGTCAACCCAGTCTCACTTTTTACAAAGTATTTTCATCAAATAGCGATCAGGAAGTTTTTCTTAATTACACTTAACCGAAAATGAAGAAGAATTCATCACTAAATCCTACAAAATTCGATTCGAATTGCTTTCGTATAATAAGTAGCAATATATTTTTCTATTGATTCAAAAATGGACTCAAATGAATTTTCTCAAAACTCAAAGGTTGCGCGATTTGGTTGGAGATTTACTATTAAGAACGAAATGATGAATTTCAACTTCACTGGGCATATTTCTTTATATCGCGGACATATGTACGCACACAATTGTAATATGCATGATCAAGAGAATATGCAAAATATCACTGAAAATTTAGTGGACGTGTTGCGGCTTCCTAAAGAAGTCTATTTTAAAGAATGGCGTAAAAGTAAATTCGCTGGAAAATCAGCGAATGAATCCCACTTGGCTTAGCTTGTTGGTGGGGGAAATTTATTTCCGAGCTACACTTGCACTCTCGAAAATGTCGGCATCGTATTGAACGAGGCAGCGATACAGTAAGTTAGAAGAATAATGCTTCAAAGTTGAAAATTTTGCGTTTTGAAAATACCTTTATTCTAACACTAATCTACCTTGTAAATGTGGGTTTGAACATTGCTATAGGCGTGATAAGATTGTGTTTGAAATGTTTTTTTCAATAATCTCTTAATTGTTGCGGGGGTGTTTTATCATTTAAAATCGTGACGTATCTGGCCTTTTAGAGAGTGAACGAAAGTTTATATGGCTTTTGAGATTTTTAAGTGCAAATCCTAATATATGTTTACCATTCGTTGTTAGCTCGAAAGAAATTGCAGAGTATTTTATTATGATTGGCTGCGTGTGCCTTCGCGAATTTTCCGGAGGTTCTGGCAAATATTTTTGGAATTTTTATATCGGCATGTACTATACGATTTTGATCACAATAATAATAATAATAGATTTTTATCCCAATAGACGAAAGAATCTTACGCTATTCAAAAACATATATGCGCGCTCTATACGATCTCGCTGATGAACCCATTTATGTGTGTTGTCACAAATGGACCGAAAGATCGCGTGTAGCTGCGCTCTTCAGTGGCGGGTGGAGAAATAAAATCGACCACCAAGAATTTCCTCACTTAGACTTCAAGTGCGAATAAAGAAAGAGAAAAATGAAAACACAAAAAAACAAAAAAAAAAAAATTTTTTTTTTCATTTTAAACTATGTATTTAAAACTTGTATTCGAGACTTCTTTATCTGAAATGTGTGTTGATTGTGTCTGACATATAACACATGTGTGTGTATATTTCTTTTTATAAAAATTATTGTTGAATATTTTCTCGATATGCACATATTTGTGCATATAGATATGCATGGCTTCATCTACGGTGGTATTTTCCAATTTATACCAAAAGACAAGAAGTGACATCAATTGACACGCATGACAAGTTGTAAAAGTAAATTGAGTCCCGCATAGGATTAGGTCGATGTAATGCACAAAGGGTGTATCGTCATTTGTGGTATATACATGTATATATGAATACTATGTATGCATGTATATAAATGATAAAATGTTCTCTTATATTTTAATAAAAACAACAACAACAACAACAACAATAATAACAACAATAACAATAACAATAACAAGGATACCATCAACATATATATAACATTTTTCATATCCATTGGCAATTTTAGCAGTCAATGTTGAAATCGGCATTGCGTGCGTGTTTCATATATGAATGAATTCGTTGATGACGTTTTCACGTTAGAGTCTATTTAATGCCACCCATTAGAGTCTGTTCGGAATTTTGAAGGCATTTGCTTCTTTCTTGTTATTCGCAATTAGTTATAAGAATTACTTTTCTATATATTTTCTTCAACAAGCAGTCAACGAAAGTAGCGACTGTAAATGGGAAAAAGGGGAAGAGTTAAAGATGTCTAGAAGATGATAAAGAAGACGATAGTTGAAAGATAGAAATGATGCTAATCCACGAGACGATCCCCAATCGTTGCTCAAAAAGACGAAGAAGAGACGATAGAAACGGCGCTATTTCATAGGGACGCGTCATGCGACGCTGGGCTACACACGTCAACGCGTCTATTGTACACTTCAATTAAATGTATTGCTAGTTGGTACTCTGCTTTAGTATACGATCTATAATGTATTCATGAGTTGCGGTCTTTACCAAGAGTTTGCGGTTTTTCTTTGCTGCTGAAATTGGCCAAATCGAATTTGAAGAGGAAGATAAAAACATGAAGAAAGAGTTAGTGTTAGTGAAAAGCATAAAAAAATATAATTTTTTTTTCTTCAAAACTTCTAAATAAAATGAAACAAAAAAATTTAAATAAATGAAAAATCTTTACCACATATAAATATCTACATATACTATAATAATATATTAAGCCTGATTTAAGAGAATAGACCTAAGCCCGAATAAAATTCTAAATCGGCAAGTCTTGAACGGATGATTAATACAAATTAATTGCAACCACACCTACGAATGTTGTAAAAAAATATTTAATAAAATAAAAAATGTAAAAGTCAGCTAGTATTACTGTGAAGTAGATAAGTAAAACAAACCACAAGAATTGTTTTTGTTTTTTAATCAAAAGACGTAAAACATTTCTATTAATCCAATACTTCGATAGACCATTTGATCATTAGCTTGTTTGTTCGATAGTTGCGTGGGATTAGATATCGTGAACGCAGCACTTTCGAAGGCTTAAGAAAAAAGTAAACCAACTTTAGATGTGAGGGTTAATCTTACGCACAAGCCGAAACAAGAGCAGCATCAAGGAGGAGTGATAATGATAATAAATGCAACGAAGTGAACTGAAGCGACGTTAGTCTTCCTACAGCGGTTTTTGTTTTTTTTTTTTTTTCTACTTAGCTGGATTTGGAGAACTAAGCTGGGAGAGTTTCCTTCATTGACATATCGTGCACATACACGTACAAAGCAATGCTTGCTCGCGTATTTACATGTACGAGTATGTGCTTAAATATTTATGCATGAACGCATATGTTCGTATATGCAAATCGTGACGATACTTAAATTTTTGTTTAAAACCGGAAAACTTGTCACTTTCGTGCATGCACTCGAAAACCATTAACGATAATACATTCGACCTAATGTTTTTGGCATTACATTGATCGTTTCTCGTGCCACTTATGCGGCTGCAGGCAGAATTAAAAAAAACAAAAAAAAAAAAAAACAAAGCAAAAAAAAGCAAAGCCCCTCCATAACGAAAGCCTTCGTTCGTGGTTTTGTTTCCTTTCCCCTGAATGTGAAAGCTTAGCTGCGTAAGGATGATCACAACACTGACAAATCGTATCTTTTCCCACAATTCACAACCTTGTGCGCAATAACTTGGCTGTCAAACGCATTCGATTGCTGCTACCAAAATTTACATAGAACCGATATTTGGCTATTAACTTGGATAACAATTTTCAAATTCGTCTCTTATATAGTTTTAATTTTCATTTTATCTCCAATACAACTTATGATAGAAGAGTATATTAAGCTACTGCGGGTGTATGTAATATCTAGAAGGATTTGAAACAGACATCTTTCATTCATACCGATTTAAACTTGTCTGCCGGTCTGTCCGTGCCAAATTCTTGTGTCCAACCTTCAAGTCGCAATTTTTAAGATATCTCGTCTTGGCGCAGGAACACACAGTATTGACTAGGCTCGGCCCACATTTTTGAGCAATTCCCCTATGATGCCTTCTTTTTTAGAGTCCGCTATATAAATAGCGAAATGATTTAGAGTATTTAATGCATACATTGTGGCCCACTATAATGTGTCTATGTTGATCAATCGCAAACATTTTCTTAGCGATATTATGCCTGCATTCTAACCTAGTCTGTGATGATTATCAAAAGGTGTAGCAAATAATAGGACCGGCAAAGACAAAACGAATATCATGCTAATGCAAATTGCATCAGCGTACTTTCGTGAAAGTGCTAAAGTAAATTTTTTTACGTTGAAAATGATCTCCATTTTCATACCTTAAGTATAATTTTGCGCTAGATAACTGGATACATACGATAAGGGTTTTGGGCGAAAATTGATTGGTTGGGCTGACAATCGCGCAAAAATTGAACCATCAGAAAAAATGTCAGGCTTAGATTCTTAGTAAACGTAAATTATGGAGCGATTCTACCGATGAGAGATTAGTCCACGTTAACTGGTAATTTTATATAGTAATCACTATATAAGAAGGCATTAGCTTGCGATTATAGAGCGATTGTAGAGCGTTTGAATATTTTTCGGCATTATTACATTAAGAATGCATTACACTTTGTTTCATTTGCAAATGCAATTTAGATTTTCGCCATTCAATGAAAAGAAATGTATTATAAAAATTCTATCAGCAATTGTTATTAATTAACTTAAAATTAATTAGGCGTAAAAATTGAAGTTCGCTTATGATTTACTTCCATTGATATACTAATTTGTATAACTAACTAGACTCAATATATTTTAGACTATGTAAAATTGCTATGCTTCACACTCACAAAAAATTTGTTTGCCCACCTATGGGAGATGTTATGACGGTTTGCTGGCTGCTACAATCAAAAAACTTTATAAACAATACTTCATTACGATGACGTCACATAACGATATATACACACTTCCTTATACATATTACCCTCTTTAAATAAAGATATATATATATATATATATATATACATGTATATTATATATGTATATATGTATATATATTGATATATATATTTGGTGGTGACGGCGGACTTAAGCAAAGAAATCCAAACCTGTTAAGTTGATTATACGAGAGAGATGGTGAGAATGTGTGTTATTCAAAAGATTTCAAATTTAATGCCCGGTTTAAACTAACACATACCTATGTGCTGCTATAGTACACTTATGAATACTTGACCTAGATTTATGTAAAATTTATAATGTAGCGCAAAGTCTCAGACATAAGATAACACAAATACGTACGCACATGTCCGCGTGTATTTGTTAATGCAACGAAATGTTGAAAAAAGAAGATGTTAAGCTTTGGTAAAATGATGCTAAAACACTCATACGTGCTACACATACATACATATTTACATATATAGTTTCAAGTATATATATATATATATATATATATATATATGAATGCTCGTATGCTCGACATGATCCCCTTCGGTTCTGTCCGTACACAATTTACGAAAAAGAAGAATAAACTAAGATAGAGTAAACAAGTAGTTTAGTACATAAAACAGGAAAAATGAAATCATCTTTTGCTCGCGCTTCTTCCATCTATTCTTCTTCTTTAATTTTTTAAAATACTTTGTTGGGGAGCGCATGTAACGAAGACAAAATGAAAGTTTTTCCTTAACACAAAGTATATCCGAATATATTATTATTTTTTGCGTCTATGTGGCACAAGCATATGGAGCAAGATAATAATTTTTTTCTTTTTTTATTCCATTCAACTGATAAAAGTTAATTACGTGACAGCATATATGTTAAACTAGAAAAAGTTACAATTGTTTCATACTTTCATACATACGTTTTACACACATAGATTTTGTTAATATAAAATCGAATTCGTTTCAATGTTTAAAATATTTTTCACACCACTACTAAAAATTATGTTGTATTAAAACTTTTATTCGCGTCACTAAGCCAAGCACCGCAATGAAATTCTTTCGTGTCCGTTGCTTGCCCCATTTGGGTTAGTAAACTGAAAAGTTGAATCAAAACAAAAGGAAAATGCAAAATTATATCACTCACATCAAGCTGTAAAGTAGCAGTAATCTATCTAGTAACACATTCACAACTACTCTAGAGAACTAAAAAAATTAAAAATTATAAAAGAAAAAAACAAAAAAACAACCCAGTAGTCAATTCATTTTGGACAACCATGTCTGAAAATGTGACACGAATACGTCATTTACTACGACAATTCAAGCCTATGATAGAAGAATCCTATCCCTGATGGGATCATACAAAAAATGGGCTCATTAAATTTGTCGTAAAGGGAATCCATTTGTTTTTTTTTTTTTTTTCTTTCATTAGGTCGAGTGGGGGGGGTTGCTCCATATTAGCAGACTGTCAAAACTTCAAAACTATTTTTCACTTGAAAGTACGTTACTTGTGCTTCAAAAGTTGTGTACATTCTTGATTATTGTAAATATTTGAGTCCATTGCTCCATGGATTGACTTATACGTGTCGCAAGGTTATTATGCAGAGAGGAGTTGGATGTGTTAGAGTCAAAGTGAATCAAAGTGTGGGTGCACGCGAGAGTGTTTGTTATTGGGTTGAGTTTATCAAAACCAAATATCTTGCATTTTACTTTGCTCCTCTCTCCACTCTCTATATCTTTATCGCTCTCTTTCTCTATCGATCTATATCTATCTTTCTTCTGCTCTGTCGCTCTATCTCTATCTATCTATCTCGGGGTTTTCTTACAAAGAGACGAGTGAACGACTTGCGCTGAATTTGTTGCTTTCATCAGAGCGGTCTTTACATGTGTGGTAGTGAACATCGGTTAGTAACAAACATTTCTGAACATTTTTCTCCCCCTACCTTATATTACATGGGTGCATTTGCAATTGTTTATCTTTATTATATAATTGCCGTCAGAGAGCCATTAGTTACATTTTACTTGAAAAAAGAAAAACGCCATTAATATGAAAGTACTTTAGGCAACGACTTATATAGGTATAGTAACTAGAATTTTTGTTTGTTACTGACAGAGCAGAGGACATGTAAACAAATTGCAATTTAGTGCATCATCTGCAGACGACTATACTGTTGAGTGCTTCTATACGTTAACGAGCGTATCAACAACTAACAACGCACAAGCATATTAAATGAACAAAATAATGGGAAGTAAATCCCAGATACTTTCGCCATTTCAAATATAATCCATGTCCTATCTTCCTTATCTTCCTTTAGTGTTTGTCTTATTGACTAAAATCAACATGTAAAACTAAGTGAGCGCAGAAATTTTTGCTTTTATTTATTTATCTATTTATTTATTTATTTATTTATTTATTTTTTATGATTCTTGCTTAGATCGGAGGAGCTTTAAGATTGATTTTCAAAAGTGATTTGCAAAATTCAACCGTAATTATAAGGAGAGCGACATTTTTTTATTTATCGTCAAATGGCAAAAGAGAACAAATCTTTAAAATCCCACTCAAGATGCGTCAGCAACAAGACTTACTTTGTGCAATTTTAAGAAAAGCGATGACTTATTTTCAAATTATTGTTGATATCTGATCACATTATATATAAAGCACAGGTTTGGTAAGTGAAAGGAAAAATGAATATTCTTTCTTAAATACACGCAAAAAAAAAAAAAAAAAAAAAACAAAAAACAAAAAACAAAACAAAAGGAAACAAAAAAATTTAATAATAATTTATTTTCCCGAAAAGTTGTTGTTATTTATACTCTTCCATTAAATGATGCGGAAGTATAACGATTCAATTTTCTACTGAAAAGAGTATACAAAGTTATTATTTTACTTTTTCATAGAAATAAAATTGACCCTCTACGCAGATATGTTCATTTTTTTTTTTTTTTTTTTCGTTTTACTTATTATTTGTTCCAGTTTGATATGCTCTTGCAGGTATTTAACACAATTTTGCGCTGCGGCTTAAATAAAGTAGTATTGCTAGCAGGTTGCACTTTAGCATGTTATAGTAAACATCACTATTGCTAAAGCTCTCCTCACTTTCGATGATGATGGAATTGTTGTGCTATTCTCCATCTAATAAATAATCGATGGAATAGAGAATCAATTCGAGCTGTTTTTTTTTTTTTTTTGCAAAATATAATTTTAATATAATTTTTGCGAAGCTTCAAGTAAATGCCCGTTAGAGGTGGAAAATTCTTTAATGAGTTTAAATGAAATTTCAAACACACGAGGTTTATGATGATATGATGAATTTTTCCAAAATTAACGGATAGCTGTCGATGCTGGAGGCGGAAAATTATTGAGATCGGCTATAGGCATCATTCATGATTTCTAATTGCATTTGCCGTCCGATATAACCTCACCATTAATCAGTGAACAGTTTAGAGAAATTTCGAAATACCTACGAATGTCTATATCAATATATATATATATTTTTTCACCTTGTAATCTCTGTAACCTGTGATGTACAGAAAGTCAATAACAGTTGCACCACAGATAAGTACAACACTGAGGCAGAAACGGTAAAGTCGAGTTGTTTCATTCTGACGGCCACAAATATATTAAAATGAATTAATGTAATCAATCAGTCATTAGTAATAGGTAGACAAATGAAGTAAGATTCAAACCTCAAAAATATCTATTCACAAAAGTTTTTCCTTTTCGAATCAGTTTTAATCCATTTTATGGTTTTTAAAGGCTCTAAATACCGCTAAAGCGAAAGAATTTGAAATGATGAACAAAGAGCTTAAGACCATTATCTTTCTTCTTTTATTATCAATCCGTTATTGGATACAAGTGATCACACAATGTTTACAATTTATGTCAATGGGTGTGTGTATGATTTCGCCTGTGGTTCGCAGTTCTGTCCATTGCCGTATATCATCACACAACTATAAAATATGTTTTCCGAAAATGCCACTGCACCCTCCGATACGGCCTAAGGAATCTTACTTTTGTCGTCGGAGAATGTATCCAAAATACGTGGTTTTCTTTTATTTTTTCATACACCTTAAGAGCTCACATTACGAGTTTGCTCTTGTCAGGACTTCAACAAGGGAGATGCGATCTGCCCACGATATTTTTCGAATTCTACGATAACAGCACATCCTTGCCGTTTCAATTTTTACTGTCCATGATCCTAGGCACCGACCATACAAAGCATTACATGAAGGCGAAGGGATAGGCTAACTTCCTGGTATTTCATATACGATGGTTTACCCATTTCTATTCTTCTTTTGATTTCCATCTATTGTCGCTATCTCAATATAGATCAAAAATATAAAAACTGGAAAATCCTTTCTACATTATGTGTATTAATGGATAGAGTGGCATTTGCATATGGAGTTTCCGATCGACATACGATTGATCATAAATGTGGTTTTACTGATGTTTATGTTTAAGTCAAAGTTGTTACTTCGACCATCTACACGTTGAAGTATCGTCTGCAGGACCTGCACATTGTCTGCTCATTCGCATGTCGCATGTTATTGATAAGTTGTCAACTGACCTTAATGCCTGTTCCGGTCGTTTGGAAAATGGCTCAATGACTCAGACTGATTCAGGGTAGAATTGAACGAAGAATAGACAAAATGCACTTCAGCTCTTTGTCTCCAATACAAATTTTTGCTGCAGCGTGTAGCTTCTCCGTTAATATTAAGACCTTTCATGGTATCCAATAATCCATCATGCTATGCTCGGTGAAATTGAGTTTTCGAGTTTAAGATAAATTGATTCATTTGTCATATTAATACAAATTACTCTATATGTTGTCTATATATTTTTGTTGTACGCAACAAACTGTCCGATAAATAAAAAAAAATTTACCGAACCTTTCTTTTTCAAACATCCCCATAGAAAATTTACAGATATATATGCAACATTGATGTAATAATCATAATAATTTTGAAAACTTGTAGAAATTTTGATTCACTCTACGCCTCTGTCGGCTGCTGACTAAACAATTGCTTGTTTTAAAGAAAATCCTTTTTTTTTTTAGCGAAACAAGAGAGATTGGCAAAAAACTAAAATACAAATGGAAACAAAATTTATTACATTTGAGGGCACTGTCTGTGCATTTGATATATAGCGGCATGCCGCTGCTTGTATTCGCGTTTGTGCAAGTAAATCATTGTGAAAGAGTAATTTAGTAGCTGAAATTAAATATATGAATGCACTATATAAATATATATATTTATATATATATATATATATATATATATATATATATTCTACTCGTCTCGGGTCTACGCTTCCATTACCCGTCACATATAAAGAAATTTCTATAAAAAAAAATACTAATTAGAAAATGATGATTCGACGCCTCGGTGATCCAATTAAATAATTATTCCGAAAAATAGCTTAAATAGATAGCGGAACGTTTTTTCATACGAAATTCTCGATTGGAAATGTCCAATGCCCAATTGTTTTCCCTTGAACGCAAAAGACTCGAACTTACGGAATATTGCATATTTGGTGAATGTCAGCATTTCTGCCCAACATCAGCTATGTACACATACAGCCCGACTTTTGCTTTCAGCAAATACAGTTTTGTTCAATGTAAATGACAGAAGTAATTTATTGAAAGCAGTGCTTGCCTATTGCTAGCTATACAGTTTTCTCACCTATCTGACAATCTGTGGATGCTACGTCAAAGAAGCCTTTTGCTCGTTTTAGACAACCCAGCCATTGAGGGATAATCGTATCTTTACGTAAGGAGCAGGCTTGCTTAGCAGATTCGTCTTCAATCGTTGCACACACATGATACTGGACAGTGAGAATGGTATTGACTAGTGAAGTGCTTCCAATGCGAACGGTTCAAATCGACTATGTCTTATTGTGAACATTTGATATTAACCGTTTCACTCGATTTTAACGACCATACAACTTCTCCTGATCCCAACAAACACAACGCAGAATGTCGCCTTACTGCCAAAGCGATACAATCGCGCAGTCGATGTGGATGTGTTGCCTGCACCTACACATGACTTTCTAAACCTAAGATTCTCAAAATAGATCCAGAAACTACTTTGTTTTGTATGGTTCGTGCAAAGACAAAAATGCTATCGGCGAACGCTTTTTATATGAAAGTATTTTTGTGTCGAAATTACGTTATTGCCGTGGTTACCACTGCTTATTGTGTTGCCAGATGTCACTACAGAACTGCATGTCTTTTACGAACGGTGTCAAGGCCTTTTCCCTTTTCATGTTAACGTTATCTGGTGCTGTAAGAAACTATTCGTGGAAGTAGATAACGCAAATGGATTTTTCTTATATTTTGTCTCTGAGCGAGAAGAATGCATCTTTTTACTCATATAATATGGGAGTTTTTCTTCCAAAAGCTCAAAAATATTTCACTTCTCAAAAAAAAAAAAAAAAAAAATGCTCTACGCAAAAAATATTTCTGTCAAATTTGAAGTCGATCGCTTCGCTTTTGCAGGCAGAGGAATGCTCACAACAGACATTACACAGATGGAAAGATGGACGGACGGATATACTTAAGTCGATTGATCAAGAACATGTATATTTCGTGGGGTCTCTGAAGCTTCCTTTTGGGCGTTGCAAACGTTCTGAGAAAATGAATACACTCTTCCCGTCGTCGGTGATGGGCATTGAAAATTATTCCAAATCTTTATATGACAAAAAGATATAATTTTTGAAATTATATGATGAAAGTTGGCCCAAACTAATGACTTGTATTTGCTCCGGGAAATTTACATCTTTTACATCTTTATTTTTCAGATCGCTTTGCTTAAACGGAAACTCTCGAAAAGCAACAGCAGCGATGTATAATTTTTGGTATAATTTATCATCAAAGTAAATGAAGAAGTGTGTTAGACGAATTTCTTTGTCTTTATTACGTACAGTATAGACAGTATAGGACTTTATGCAATAAATAAATTGAAAATGTTTTCATTCAACTTAACCAAGCATTAAGAAATCAAAAAGCAGTATTAATGGCAGAAAAATATATATGTCATATATGCATATGATCGAATAAATTGAGCGTTTAGTTGGAGAAAAGTCAGCTTAAAGGGGTCACAAAAGCTTATGCTAGAAGAGAGGAATCGCTATTCGTAGGTTCAGGTCCAAAATTTAAATTTGAAATATGTCTGCACTGCAAGCTTTGCGATTTGCGGCTGTGAAGCCTCTTGCGAATTCGACTTGAACCATTCAGATTTAACAGCGGTTAGTGTTAGTATCATAGCGTTCGTGCAAGTCGTGACGACTTTTAAATAAATGAGTTCTTCTTCTTTTTCCATTGCCGATGGTATTATCACTTTGTGCTTGTAGGAAGCACTGCTTACAATATATGACGACTGCTTATAGTAGATGGTGAAGATTTCATCTATAGTATTTTGAGGGAAGAATGCAAGCATAAGGTTTGTTTCCTATTTCATATATACATATATACAGGTAAATTAAATTCTTCTTTACGTATGTGCTTGAAAAAAAAAAGAAAAAATAAAGGAAAAAAAAAAAGATTGAATTCATTGCACATTGTATAAACAAAAAGATAATATTGCTTACTAAACCTTACACTGATTTCGAACAATTTTTTAATATATGCATATAGTATATTAAAAATCACTTAGTCCAGACTTTTATGCC